ATCAGCCCTTTACTTCTTCATGCAATCGGCTGATCTAGGGCTGCATGATAATGCTTCAAGAAACTCTAGCTGATGCTCTGATACCAAGTAGAAATCTGCTGAATTAAAAAAATATGAAAGAAAGTAGTTTCTTGAAGAGAGAAGGAAGAGAGAAGGAGAAGAAGAGAAGAAGAGAAGTTGAAAGAAAACAGAGCAATAATTCTGGCCACCCCCTTCACTTATTATTTATACTAAAATAATAGAACAGTACAAAGACAACTATGCCCTTATAGAGCGGCAAAACATAAAACAGCATATATATAACACTCAAAAAACATAATAAAATTTGGACTCACATAACTATTGTGGTCCCCACCTCCTATCTAACAACTAATATAAACAGCTACTCAGAAAAACATCATAAAACTAATTAATCTTCAACACTATACAAAGCTACCTGCCAAGCAAAAGCTTCCATCCTAGGAAGAATTGTTACCCCAAATCCCTTTTGAAGCTGGAATGCTCATTCTGATCTGGAATAAGAGCTTTGCAGAACGATTTTACTATGAAGCAGCCATTTTTACATTCTTTCCACCATCTTTGCATCTGTATTTTTTTAATGGAAAACTTCTTTAAGTTTGATTAAAAGAAAAGTACACTCTTCCATCTCTTGTCAAGCAGAGGTCTTCTGAAGTTGGGATATGAGATAAAGTATCAGCTGTGCCATTTGCTGATCTCAGGGTCCTCTATAAATCTGGTTCTCATTTCCCTTGTGTTGTGTTTATAGTACCAAAGAGTTTCTAAAAGTGACCTCTTTTATTTACCTTGCTTCAATAATTGTCAAAAAGGAAGAGATTGAGGAGGATGCCACCCAAAGAATCACTGCAGGATGGGCAAAATGTAGGGGTGCCCAACACCAGCAATATTTTATGGAGCTGAGTGTTGGGCAGTCATGAAACATGTCCATAAAATGAGTGTAGTAGAAAAATGTTGAAATGGATGGGTGGGAAAACTTGAAAGGACACTTAACAAAAGAACTTATTTGAAGGAATTTAGGAGTATCTCTATTAGATGATAGAATGGGGTGAAGTAGACCAAGATGGTTTAGTGACATTTAGAAAAGACCGTCTACTGCACCTGTGAGAAGTGATCTGTTACAATTTGAAAGGTATTAATTTAAGTGAGAAATGCTCTGTGGCACAAGTGATCTGTTACAAAGCTAGTGGTGACGGACCATAAAGGAAATGGGTTGAAGAAGTGAAAATTAACTTACATATTCATAATTCAACTATAGATATAACAGACTGGTGAAACAACATTCATGTAGCAAACCTCGTATAATTGGGGCAAGGCTTAGTTTAATTGAATTGAGGTACGCTTAACAAAAATATGCAAATGAATATTAAAAGAAAGAATTAGTTGCAGTAAATTTGTTAATATTGAAAGCTTCATTAACTTTTAACTATGTAAGTTCTAGTTGAAGAAAGATGGCTTAAAAAATCAGAAAGCTTTCCAATTGAAGTAAATTATTACTGATATCAACTTTTATTGTAAGTGGCTCTTCTTTCATTCTTGTTTTCCTAGTTATATCTGTAAGATCTTGAATTAGACTTTTTTATTTGATTGAGTGTGTTCAGATTTTTTGTTTTATTTGTTGGTTCTCTCTCATTTTATCTTGCTCCTTCCCTCCAGCATCTTTTGTGATGCCTTTGTATAAGTTGCTTCCTAAGTGGATTAGTTTTTATCTCTTAAAAACTTGCTGCCCATTGTGCAGATTGACTGTGACAAAACTATAATGGTCACCTTGAAACATGATGATAAATTCCAGGAGGGAGCTGAATGTGCTTTTCAGGTGCAAACTAAATCTGCTCAGCAAGTTGTATAGATCCTAATTTATCATATTCACATTTAATATGGTGAAATTTCCTTTGGCAAAAGAAATCTTGTTTGACTTTGATTTTGTATTTAATTTTCTTAGTGTGCCCTTCTGTACACAACTGTATACGGTCAAAGAAGAATCAGAGTTACTACTTTATCACTTCCTTGCACGTCTGTACTCAGCAACCTGTTCCGTACAGCTGATTTGGATACTCAATTCGCATGTTTCTTGAAGCAGGGTGTGTACTTGTGGTTCTGCTGACTTTGTTTTTTATCTGTTGCTCTATTCTGTCAAAACTTCCTCTTCCATCTTGTTCCCAATTGCTTCAAACTTGTAAACTATTCAGCATCAAGTTTTTTCATGTTCTCTAGTTTTTTACTGATTCAGCTATAACAGTTTTGCCTTTTCTTTTGTAGAGTTTTATTTTCATATAAGCTAATTTGATTTTTTTTATTTTTTATGTTTCTTCTGTAGCGGCAAATGAAATACCTACCACCCCCCTGTTGCAAGTCCGGGAACAAATGACAAATCTTTGCATCAACATTTTGCATTCTTACCGGAAATTCTGTGCAACAGTATCATCCTCTGGACAACTAATTCTTCCTGAGGCACTCAAGCTTCTGCCTCTATATACACTTGGTATTTCCTTCCTTGGGATTTGATAATTGAAATGTGTGGATATAATGTGGTATTTAATACTAGTTGTGGTCTCTTTTCTATCATTATTTTAGAATGCCAAATTTTAATCTTGCCTACTGATGCTTAAGATGAAGATCTGTTTTTGTCTTATTCACTCGCAAGCAGTTGGAGTTGGAAAAAGGTTTTAGAGTTTATTTTTTAAATCATTTCAGTGAGGGGAATATCTTGTTAGATATGGATACAGTTTAGTATGCCAACAATATATAAAGATGCAGTGGACATAACTACTAAACTCTTTAATAATTTGATATATCTTTTGTTGGGGTTGCATTCCATCTTACAAGGGATGTCAGCTTAGTTGTCTCAAAACTCTTTGGTTGATTCTTTGTGGAGGTTTGTTTTACCAGATGCTGCTGCCCAGATGAGCACTCGTCCAAAACTTGATGGTATCAAGTATCTGAAAATATCTATGGCATTTTCTGATGTTACTCTATGTAGTTCTAGCATACAGCTCTTGTATGCCATACAATAGCTTACCAGTTACAAAGTACGTGTTGCTAGTCAATTCAACCCTAACCCCAACTATTTGGCTTAAGCTACATAAATCCTGTTTTGCCATTTTGCTCTATTAAGAGCCATGTAAAATGCTTTGGGATTCATATTCATATTGGATTATTGGCTAAATGTTTTTATGCTAGTAAACAACTCTACACAATCCTCCATCTAGGATTGGGACTGGCAGTGTAAGACAAGCTTACACTTACACAATCCTCCATCTAGGATTGTGAACATGTACATAAAAAGTATTGAGCAAACGAACAGAAGATATATTTTTAGTTCACTTTCTTTGCATGATAGGAATGACTTTTGTATTTTTGTTGGGGTTTCCTCTTGATATAATATGATACAACCTTTACCTTTACCTTTCTAAGAAAAAAAGGAGAGTTCTACTGAACATGTAGTTTTGCCCATTTTTCAGCATTAGTTAAAAGCATAGGACTGAGAACTGATGGCCGAATTGATGATCGCTCGTATTGGATTACTCGTGTTGCCTCCCTCTCTACCCATTTGGCAGTTCCTCTGGTATATCCGAGGATGATAGCTATTGATAACCTTATTTCAGAGGTATGATTTAGTACTGTTAGTTCACAAATTTGCTTATTGATTTTTTAACCCCTGTAACAATGGAGTCTTTCTGGTCAATTATCAGGAGTATGATGGGTCTCTGATCCCCCCAACAAAGCCACTTTCCAGTGAGCATTTATCTGAGGATGGTATATATCTTCTGGAGAATGGTGAGGATGGTCTGCTTTATGTTGGGAATGCAGTTAACCCTGATATTTTGCGGCAACTATTTGGGAGCTCCTCTATTGATGAAATTCCTATGCAGGTATTCTACATACCAAAACTTTTACACGTGCACACAAATGTATTACGCATCATTTTTTCATTGTCTGATTGACATAATGTGTTCATATTTGATTTTCTTTCTATTAATTATTTTAATTTTGTTGGCCATTATTGGTTGATTTATTTATTGGAATGATGAAAGTAGAAATTCAACTGAAGTTTGTTATTTGATGGAACAGTATGTTAATTTCTTGTGTGAATCTGTGCAATTAACTGTGTGCCTTATGATTATTCTATGTTGGTATTCCAGCTTGTGCTGCAACAATATGATAATCCCTTGTCGAAGAAACTAAATGATGCTGTTAATGAGATAAGGCGCCAAAGATGTTCCTATCTTCGGTATGGAATATGTTTTGTGTAGCAAATGTTTCCTTATTTTTTTTTTTCTTTTGGAAAACTTTCAAATCGTTCTTCTATCTCATTTGATTTATGAAGCTCTATTATTATTTGCAGACTAAGATTGTGCAAGAAAGGAGATCCATCTGGTAAGCTCTCAGGCATCATAACCATCCATGCAACTTCATGCTTGGCTATATTCATTACTTTAACAATAGATTGGCACTTGCAGACAAATGTAGAAATGGATTCATTACTAAACTTGAAATTATGCTTTTAAAGAGGAAATTATTTTCATTCCATGTGGATTCCAAGTGGCCACTGGAAGCTGTGCTTGAAATTATTTTCATTCCATATGGATTCCAAGTTCTGAAAAATGGCATATTTTGCCCCTTTCGAATTCAACACTTTTTGGATCCCCCCCCAAGATTTAAATGGCCACTGATAAATGGAATTTGCCTCTTTGTAACCTTCTGGTTTTGGATTCCACCTTTAGAATTTGCCTCTTGTTTCACATTTTAGTTGTACTGGGCAATATTCCTGTTTTCATTGAAGTTAAACCCCATCAGTTTGTAATGTGCTCTTGTAACCTTCTGGTTTTGGATTCCACCTTTAGAACATTCCAGTGCAACCACCTTTAGAATTTGCTTCTTGTTTCACATTTTAGTTGTACTGGGCAATATTCCTGTTTTCATTGCAAGTTAAACCCCATCAGTTTGTAATGTGCTCTTGTTGATTTCATAGTGGCATCTAACTGGTGTGGTGTTACCTTGACACCCGATCAGATTGTTTCTTTAAAATTTCTTCTTTACTCTCTTCAAAAGAAAAGAAAAAAAAGAACTAGGTATTTTGTAGCTTGAACTAAGAAGGAAATAAAGGATTGATGCGTTGAAAGCATGGGTTTTTGTTGCTTTGTGCTTGTTTTTCCAAGAGGTGGAAGTATTTAGTTTCTTTAAATATTTTGGCAGGTGGAGTTGTATTTGGTAATTAAACAGCACTCCACTGCTTAGAAAATTTTGTTTGCTTCTAGCCCAATTATATGCAGATGCATCAACTTCTATTGTTTATGCAGGAGTTCTCTTCCTTTCTAATATGGTTGAAGATAAGACTCCGAGCGGCCTCTCTTATGTTGAGTTCCTTGTACATATCCACCGGCAAATCCAAACTAAAATGGCGTGATCTTGTGGTTTTATTTCCATTCCTCTACTAAAGGCGTAAACATGAGAAGGGCAGAGGAAGTGAGAAATCCATGCTTTGATGTGTGCTTTCAGAGTTCCTCCATCTCTCGATTTCCATTGGAGAGAAAGCACAATTAATTTCGCAATAGGAATTTTGTTACTACTAGGTTCAGCTAATATATTCGATAGGGAGGTATTAATAAATATAAAATATAGCTTTTCCTGTTTTCTCTTTGTTTCTCCACTTTTCTTATGTGTTGTTCTTTATTCTTTTGCTTTCCTTATTTTCTCCCTTTTTATGCTATAGACCATTTTTTGTCCTTTTTTTTTTCTGGTTGAACTGTAAATACAAGACTTTTAAGATATGGATAGAAACGGGCTTGATTGTTCATCTCTGGCTTCGAGGACTTTGGAAGAATAAAAAATAACTGCGAATGCCAACTCTTGAACTGTAAACCAATGACGTTAGCTTCGGATACTAATAATGTGAGAGAATAAAGTCCAAATTGTCATGTAACTATGAAATAGGACCTCTTTTATTCTAGCATTATTGTGTCACTGTCCTACTTGTCAATAGTACTTTTGTTCAAGATGATCGGGATTCTATGACGGCATATTAAAACGATACTAGAGTAATACCGAACGGAAAAAATAAGATTTTTCCAGACTTCTGAGCGACAGCATTATTCTGTCACTCCTGATTTCCTGAATGTATAATAACAATACAAAACTCTTCTGAGTGACCCACCGTTGACCTGGATGGTCGAACTGTTTGAACTGTCACCTGGTTAGGATTTTGGATCCGATTTATTCAAGACTGTTTGATTTGGTCAGTTTGATCATTGACTCATTTGATCCACTGACCAAGTCGCGAGTTGCACACTCAATACGTACAAATCTTTTGGAGGCTATATAACTTTATACTCTGATGTCCAAGATGATCGGGATTCTATGATGGCATATTAAAACGATACTAGAGTAATAACGAACGGTAAAAATAAAATATTTCCAGACTTCTGAGCAACAGCATTATTCTGTCACTCCTGATTTCCTGAATGTATCAAGAGCAATACAAAACTCTTCTAAGTGACCCATTGTTGACCCAGTTGGTCGAACCATTTGAACTGTCACCTGGTTAGGATTTTGGATCTGGTTTATTCAAGACTGTTTGATTTGGTTAGTTTGATCATTGACTCATTTGACCCACTGACCAAGTCGCGAGTTGTACACTCAATGCATACAAAACTTTTGGAGGCTATATAACTTTGTACTTTGATGTCCAATTAGGGTTTTTTTTTTAAAAAAATTTTGTGTAGCATTTTGAGATTTATGCATCCCAAGGGGCTGTAGGCGCTTTGCCCCATTATTTTTGTAAAAAAAAATCCATTTTTGGCCTTTAATTCTAATTTTAAAATTTTCATAAAAAATGATTACTTAATTAAAAATATAAAATAATACATATAACATATCTAAAATATATTTATACACACATATGGTTTGGCCTAGCTGGTTGAACCATTCAACCAGGCTAGTCGAATCGATGACCTACGACCCGTAAGTAAAAATGGTTTGGCCTTCGGGTTGGTTTTTAAAACATTGATCAAGAGTGAATTTTTTTCTTTGTATTTGGTGATACACACGACACTAATAACCCCCTCTCTAAAGCCGATGGTTGCGGGAATCGATTTTGCATCTAAGGGATTAATGTGCAAGTTTTTGTATGTGGTTATAAGGGATTAGTAGGTTTTCTAAGGAAAAATAATTACTGGTTTTGTGTCGGTATAAATCAAAAGATATGTCAAGGAAAAATAATTGTCTATGTATCTTTGGCTATAGAGATGAAATAAAACCATTGGTATATCTCCTAACCTATACCGGAAAAATAGTAATTATCAATATATCTTCACCTATATTGATGATTAAGGTATGTTGAATTATGGATGATTACATTGACGGATAAAAACCATCGATCAAAGTTTTAAAAATCGACCTGGAACCAGAACCGTTCTGGCCACCGGTTTCCTGGTTAACAAATTGATCGTTTGGTAGGTTAGTTTGCCAAGGAAATGTTTAATTAAGAATTCCTAAGTTTATTCATTTTCTTTCTTTTTTCTTGGGAGTGGGTGAACAATGTATGGTGTGCAACATTCCTTTTAGAATTGCAAAAATTTATATATGTAACATTCCTTTTGGAAGTACAATATGTATTGGGTTACTCTTTATAAAGGGAAAACAAGTGTTTATTAGGAATTAGGGTCACGAAAACTTGGAGGAGAAGCTCTGAGGCGTGTCTAAAGATAATGCCTTTAGAACATTATTTGCCCCCACTCAGTTTTACTGAGTTTACTATTGGGTTTCAAGCAAATTTGTTCCCATGATACAACAGAGCTTTGGGTGAGAATCTGCAACCAGCAAAACTAAAGAATCTCCAAAGAAACATTCTATGAGATAGTAGCAGATTGGACTGAGAAAGACGGGTGATTTTTTGAAAAACTTTTGTATTGTTTATTTTTTTGATTCATGTTCCTTATATAATTTCTAGAGAGTTATCTTAAAGAAGAAGATGCTAGTTCAAAAAGGCTCTTTGTGTAGTTACAATTTCAAACTTTGTGATTGTTCAAAATTAATTAAATAGTTAGTGATTGTTAACTTTTGAATAATGCTTCTTAAATCACACCCGATCAAATCATGACCATTGGATTTTCTTAAAACGTCAATGGTCATGATTCTACCTCAATCGTACCCTTTGGTGTAGTTTAACCTTCGCACCAAAAATCAAAGTGTGCCTCTAAAGTGCCTCATTGCACCGCACACACTTGCACACACACATGGGTGTACATTGCGTAATATCAAGCCTCCATACTCTCCTTTTATAATTCTAAGGAGTGAAACAAGCTACTACTTAAAAACTCAAAACATGTTTAGTGATTTTCCATTGTAGGACAATGCTTTAAAGAGGAGAAAAAAGTTGATAATTGGTTTTAGTGTGAGATTTAAATACTATTTTCAAGATATATGTGTAGGTGTATTTTTATGTAATTAATCAATCAAACCCTATTGGATTTAATCTCTAATGAGATTAAAATCCAACAATCCCCCACTTTGATTGATCAATTATATAGGTCTCTCTCTATCCAAACTGCTATGACATAGATATGCATACAAGAAGGTCTTTTATAACTTAAACATTTAATTAGTACAGATATCTCAAAGTCTTGTCAAAGTTATTGGTGGTAAAACTTTAAACCGATTACTCTCAAGATAGACTGAAAATATCCATATACATAAAAATGTCCTATCTTTGCAAGAGTTTCAAATTTGCTCAACACTTTTATGGTCTTGTGTTACTTTCCTAGTTTTATGAATGATCTCGAAAGCAAAACCCAAGTTCTCATGAGAAGCGGCACCATTTCTACGTTCACATAGGTGAAGTTTCATTGTGCATTTCATTACTTGATACATTTCAAAATTTCATCAAGAGTTTATTTCAATGTTAGTATTAACAATCACATCGTAGTAACTTGTTTTTACCCATTAAACCCAATACTTGATATTTTTAGCTTAGGTTGGGCTACCATTATTCAAGACTAGGCAAAGGGTTTTAATCTCATCTCTCTAGTTGTCGTTCTCACCATTTCTCTAGATAGATCCTTGGTAAGAGGATCAACCAAGTTTTTACTTGACTTTACATATGCTATAGTGATCACTCCATCCTAAATTAACTGCCTAACATACTCATGTCTCAGACATAGGTGTCTGGACTTACCATTGTAAGTATTATTATAAGCTCTTAATAGAGTTCCTTCACTATCATAGTAGATGGAAATTGTAGGCATTGGACTGGGCTATAGTTTTATATCTAATAATAAATTCCTAATCCATTGAGCCTTCTTTCTAAGAGTTAAGGCTATGAACTAAGATTCTATGGTCGAGTAAAATATACAAGTTTGTCTCTTAGACACTAAAGAGATTGCACCTCCACCAAGTACAAAAATTCATTTAGAGGTAGACTTATTGTCTCTATTACTAGTAATCCAACTCACATCAGTGTACCCTTTTAGTACAATTGGATAATCACAATATAATAAGGCAAGTTCTAAGGTCTTTTTGAGGTATCAAGAACTCTCCCAATTGCCTTCTAATGCTTTACACTATGATTATTTGTAAACCGACTGAGTTTACTTACTACATATGCGATATCAAGTTTAGTACAAAGCATAGCATACATTAGACTTTCTACTACACTAGCTAGCATACTTATGTTATTTAAGTATCCTACTAGAATTCTTTACTAGCTTTATACTAGAGTTATATGGTGTGCAATATTATTTAAATCCTAAATGCTTAAATTTCTGAAGTATTCTCTCAATATAATGTGATTGGCTTAAGGCATAATCTTTACCATGCTTCTTAACTTTCATTACTAATATGGTATTTAATTCTCCTAAATCTTTCATCGTAAAGACAAAGGATAAGTAACTTTTAGTTTCATTTAAATCAACCATATTAGTACAAACTATAAGCATGTCATCAACATAAAGACATACAATCACCCCATAATTTTTAGTAAATTTTGAATAAATGCATCTATTAACACTATTGTGCTTAAATCCAAAAGCTAAAATGCAGAAGTCAAATTTTCCATACCATTGCTTTGGTGCTTGTTTTAAACCATATAAAGATTTAACCAATTTGAAATCTTTCTTCTCATTTTCGGTAAGGATAAATCCTTCTACTTGTTTCATATAGACCTATTTACTTAAATCATTGTTTAAAAAAGCAATTTTAACATCCATTTGATGAACAAATAAGTGATAAATGGATGTTAGTGCTATAAGTGTTCTAATATATCAGTTATTTTGGCCACATGCACATAGGTGTCAAAATAATCAATTCCTTCATTTTGAATCTTTTAACTACCAATCTATCCTTAAATGTTTGTATAGTTCCACCAGTGTTGTATTTTCTTCTACACATCCATTTTCATTTGATTGGTTTTGATTCCGGAGGCAAGTCTACTAGTACCCATGTGTTATTAAACATTATTGAATCCATTTAATTATTTATAACTTCCTTATAAAAGGTAGCATTTCTAGAGGTCATGGCCTCATTGTAGGTTTTGGATCATTTTCAATGTTTAATACAATGGGCATTTTATTTAAAATTTTTTCTTTATCAATCTCAACCAGCAACATAATTGACTCGGTAGAGATAAAATTAGAACCTAGGTGTTTTTCTTTTCTGTCTTTGACTTTTCTTTGGTTTTATTGTAGGCGTTATAGTTGTGTCATTTCTTCTTTCAATCTCATTGTTACCAATAGGTACTAAGATTTGAGTTCCTCTTTCTTGTTCTTTATCATTTTCTATGAATTCATAACATAGTTTATTTTC